GCCTAATTATTATTTAAAATAAACCCTATTAGGTAGTTTTGAATAACCTTTTGTAATTGACAATGTTTTATTAAAAATGACATCCTACACTGTAAAAAATATTTGCAAGATTTGTTATCACAACATATTTTCTTTTGTCAAATCAACTTTATAATAATTTATTTAGTTGAGATAACTTATTATTTTGAGTTTCTGATGATTAAATCATTCTCCTTCATTGTATTAACTCACTTTTTCCAGTTCAATCAACTTAAAATTTTAAGGCAACCCAGGTTACTTACTTTAAGTTAAACCAACAATATTTTTTTACAGTGTAGTAATCACAACATTTTTTCTTTTGTCAAATCAACTTAAATAATTTATTTAGTTCAGATAACATAATATTTAGAGTTTCTGATGATTAAATTAATCTCCTTCATTGTATTAACTCACTTTTTCCAGTTCAATGAATTTAAAATTTTAAGGCAATACTTTTTTAAGTTAAACCATCAATATTTTTTTTAGTTTTTAGACTCTGTCAAGATCAGATTTCTACATGAACTAATACATTTTAAAATGTTCAGTTCATAGTTCATACTTCGCAATTTTGAACTAAATGGGTGATATGCACGTTAAGTATTCACACAATGCAATACATGTAATGTATCTTGACGTACAATCAAATAAAACATTCACTGTAAAAAAATATTGTTGGTTTAACTTAAAAAAGTAAGTAACGTGGGTTGCCTTAAAATTTTAAGTTGATTGAAATGGAAAAAGTGAGTTAATACAATGAAGGAGATTAATTTAATCATCAGAAACTCAAAATATTATGTTATCTGAACTAAATAAATTATTTAAGTTGATTTGACAAAAGAAAAAAATGTTGTGATTGCTATACACTGTAAAAAACATTGTTGGTTTAACTTAAAAAAGTAAGTAACCTGGGTTGCCTTAAAATTTTAAGTTGATTGAACTGGAAAAAGTGAGTTAATACAATGAAGGAGATTAATTTAATCATCAGAAACTCAAAATAATAAGTTATCTCAACTAAATAAATTATTATAAAGTTGATTTGACAAAATAAAATATGTTGTGATAACAAATCTTGAAAATATATTTTTTTTTACAGTGATTGCTTTATAATTAAATCCAAAAAATGATTTATGTATTATATGGCGAAAGCAGATTTTGGTGAAATTCCTCAACAGTTCAAACAAAAACATCAACACTGAATCTCCACAAAACATCAGCAGCATTACATACACATCCCACAATGCAATGCTCTTAAAATCGAGCAGAAATCCCTGCTGTACGTCTTCCACATCGGCTGGTTTCTCCGTCAGCATAGTGGATATTATTCCTCTCGCCTCTGTAATCCTCACACACGGCCCGCTTTGATCTAATTCAGTGGCAACACCTCCAGCTTCAGATCGCAGCGATGATGGAGAACGCCGGAGCCTACGGGCCTGAGCTCAACGCCTTCATCCACAGGCAGTGATTAATGACAGGAATAACGGCCCGCTTTCAGAATGAACGCAAACAGCAGAGGCAGAAGCAGATTAACAACACAGGGTCGTGAGTCTCTGAACCCCTCGCGCTCTGAAGTCTGTTTGTATTCAAGAAGAGGAGAGCTGACGGACAGAGAACCACCAACACCGGATCAAACCAAACACAGTCAGACCAATGACACTGAAAGAAAGGTTCTGTTAAAATTGTTTTTTGGTTTTAGTTTTAATTTGACTATAATAACCCTGATTATAAGAAAAAACTATATTTTAAGTGTACTGTAGTAGGTCATTCAGGTATTCCATGCATATGGTGTTTGCACACTGTACTCAGTGCTCTGGTAAAGTCTATGAAAGCTAATATTCATGAGTCATGAGGATCATGAGTGTGTGTGCATGTGTGTGTGTAGGAGGTTGATAGACTATGCTAAACACTAAACCACCAGCGGCTTCATTACAGAAATGTCAATAATTTATTCTGATTCATGAAAGTGAGAAAATTATAGCAGTAGAGAGAGAGGTGAACCTCGTGTCGGGTCACCTTTATAACACAACACACACACACACACACACACACATGCAAATACATGCAAACGCACAAAGACACTAAAGGGCATCGTTCAATCAAAATGCAATGGAGCAGAATTTATAATAATGGAGTATCGTGCTTAAGCCTAGTAAAATAGATGAATAAATACAATAAAAGCGCAATATGATGGATAACCCATCAGTTAAACTGCTCTATACAATCATTAGTAGAGCTAACTAAAGGTTTAAACGATAAAAAAGGTGAAATGAAAAGAAAATCCCTTATATTTACACCGACCTGAGCCATGTCTAGATATTGGCGGGTCAGAAACCGACCGGTCCACTTTCAGCATCATCGGTGACAGAAGCATTGTTTCCAAAAAATGTCTTTAAAGAGTTATGAGCCACGAACCCATCAAACCTGCTGTGAGGTCAATTGCAATATTTCAAACTTAGTTTTGAAGCAAAAACGTGACAATAATGTGTACTGAACAGCTTTAATGAGGAAAAGAAGTGTGCAATCCAATTAAGCATTACAAATGACATTAACAAATTAAAAATGATAGAGCGGCACCAAACTATTGGTTTAAAATGTTTAAATCCTAATACAGTATATCCAAATATATTTAAATAGTTTGTGAGCGTAGGGAAACTCACTAATCTTGTACTACATACTTTTATCCAATCAAATGCTCTTGAATGTGAACGCCAGCTACTGCTACGCACATTATATTCTTCTGATTAGTTGGTTACACCAATCCGAAAGTTACGGTTCATAGCTGTGCCATTAAAAATGAGATGAGACCTTCAATATATCCCACCCACACTTCCTGTTTCAATGGAGAAAAAGTGCTTGTATGCAAACAACTCAGAAACCTGGAGCAAAGAGCAAGAATATCGACATTTCTGTGTAAACATAAACATACATCGGCTTTTACCTCTGACAGCCCAAGGAAGCCGAAGCAGATGTGTAAAGGGCATTAGCTCTCTCTCTCTCTGTGTGTGTGTGTGTGTGTGTGTGTGAGAGGAAGAGAGAGAGAGAGTGTGTGTCTACTCTGAGATCATTAACACACAGGTCACTCACAGGTATCCGTGTCTTGTATGTACTTAAAGTGTGTCTGTGTGTGTTTGAGCGGATCTCAGCAGAGTTTCATTAGCACACAGGACACACACACACACACACACACACACACAACCTGTGAAATCCTCAGCTCTGGTTACACACATCACACTTACATTCACTCAATGTGCAAACACACATAAGACAGGAGGACTATGAACACGCAAATATAAAAGATGAGCGTCAGTAAAATCAAGAGGCTGAGAGGACCGATTTAAGCAAACACTCCTCCGATCGCACACGTCTCTCGGAAAAATCACTAGTGTTACTGATTCATTTCTGCTCTTTTGAACAGTTTGCTTTAATAAACCGGATCAAAATTGTTTATCAGTATTTCTTTACATCACATCTGTTTATGTTTCATGGGAAATAAATGGTGTTTTCAGGAATAGTGAAAATACAGCCTGATGATTTCCAGACAATTCATGTTCATTAAATACAGCTCAACAATTTAAACACAACAAAACCCTACGCCAGAAGATTAATGTCAGGATTAACAATTCAGAAGGTACTACTTGATAAACTTCTATAAATAATTGAAAAAAATACTTGTTTGATACTTTTCTTACAATAACGTTCAAAACATGATAGTACGGAGGCGTATTGCATTCACTTGAAGAAAAAATATCTACTCTGTTTTTCTGAATTAACAAGTTAATTATCGCAGAATTAGGAGATAAGTTTTCATGGAAAAAAATTTTTGTTCTGTTTTTCTGAATTAACGAGTTAATTTTTCATGAGAAAAAAGTTTTTGCTCTGTTTTTCTGAATTAACGAGTTAATTTTTTCATGAGAAAAATTTTTTTTGCTTTGTTTTTCTGAATTAACAAGTTAATTTTGCATGAGAAAAAAAGTGTTTGCTCTGTTTTTCTGATAACGAGTTAATTTTTCATGGACTTTTTTTTTGCTCTGTTTTTCTGAATTAAAAAAATGTACATGAAAAATTAACTCGTTAATTCAGAAAAACAGAGCAAAATTGTTTTTTTTCTCATGAAAAATTAACTCGTTATTTCAGAAAAACAGAGCAAATTTTTTTTCTCATGAAAAATTAACTCATTAATTCAGAAAAACAGAGCAAAAAATTGTTTTCTCATGAAAAATTAATTCATTAATTCAGAAAAACAGAGCAAAAAAAAATTTTCTCAT